GAGACTGTCGGTTTAGACACACTGTAGTGTTACTTCGTTATAACTGCAGAAATGGCGCCGTTTTGATGCGCGGTGCACGATATAACGACTGCCACAATGCATAGCCCAAGCAAAACAATTTCATCAGAATCTCCAAAGGAGCGTTATGCAGTGCAACCGTGTGCACCATGCATGGTGCATACGGTTGCAAAAGCGACGTCGTTTTGACGTTCGACTTTAAAAAAAAAAAATAAATAAATAAAAATTTCATAATTGCATAACTACACATCCATAACTTCATAACTATACATCCAGAATTGCATAACTACTTCATAACTATAAATCCAGAATTGCATAACTACACATCCATAACTTCATAACTATACATTCAGAATTGCATAACTACACATCCATAACTTTATAACTATAAATCCAAAATTGCATAACTACACATCCATAACTTCATAACTATACATTCAGAATTGCATGCATAACTACACATCCATAACTTCATAACTATACATTCAAAATTGCATAACTACACATCCATAACTTCATAACTACACATTCAGAATGTGAAATTATAACTTCATAACTGTACATTCAGAATTGTATGCATAATTACTCATCCATAACTCCATAACTATAAATCCAGAATTGCATAACTACACATCCATAATTTCATAACTATAAATCCAGAATGTGAAATTATAAAATTGTGAATATATGTTTACGTAACTAACGGTGATCGATTTTTTTTTATTTAAATAAAACGGCGCCGTTTTTGCATCCGTTTGCACCATGCATGGTGCACATGGATGTACAACATAATTTTCCATCTCCAAAGCCATGGATCAAGCCTCCGGCAAATTATGCTGTGGACACGTGCCCACTTTGCAAGGTGGGCACAGTTCCACAACGGCGTCGTTGTCGCGCCGTTCTAATTAAAAAAAATTATTTTTTCATTTGCTGTTTGCGACGTTTCTTTTTTCTTAATCGCACAATTTAGAATTATGAATATACTGTATATAAATTATGAATCTACAGTATATAAATTATGAATTTACAGTATTATGAATCTACAGTAGTAGATTTGTGAACATGTGATAGAGCTATATGTTCATAATTTTATAAATAAATGTTCATAATTATAGAGCTATATGTTCATAATTTTATAAATAAATGTTCATAATTATAGAGCTATATGTTCATAATTTTCGATGTTCATATATCCAATTGTTGAACTTTGTATTCACAAATCACATAACTATATATTCATAATTTGATAACTATACCGTTTAGAAATTATGAATCTACAGTACATAAATTATGAATCTACAGCACAGATATTATGAATCTGCAGTATAGAAATTATCATCTATTGTATTTAAATTATGAATCTACAATATAAATTTTATGAATCTACAGTAAAAAAATTATGAATATACAAACGTGCCTACCTTGCAAGGTGGGCCGGTTCCATAGCGTAACACTCCGCCTCCGGCAAATTATGCTGTGGACACTGCCCACTTTGCAAGGTGGGCACAGTTCCAGAACAACATCGTTTTCATGCAGTTCTAATTTTTTTTTTTAATATAAAAAATTCACTTGTTGTTAACAGCGTTTTTCTTTTCGTAATCGCACAATTTAGAATTATGAATCTACTGTATTTAAATTATGAATCTACAGTATATAAATTATGAATTTACAGTATTATGAATCTACAGTATTAGATTTGTGAACATGTGATAGAGCTATATGTTCATAATTTTCTATGTTCATATATCCAATTGTTAAATTTTGTATTCACAAATCACATAACTATATGTTCATAATTTGATAACTATACAGTTTAAAAATTATGAATCTACAATCATGCCTACCTTGGGCACGGTTCCACAGCATAAGACTCCTAATGCTCCAATTCTCCATTATGCAAATCTTCAAATTACCTCAAATCCATTAAGCAATTAATCCGACTGAGCAACCCAAAATTCAGCTCAAATATCTTAATTTAACATTACAGCCCAGCACCAGTGATCCAAGAAACCTTCTTAAATCAATCCCAAATAAATAAAATCATTGATACCATAAAGAAAAAGCCTAAAAATACCTTAGCCATGCAAAAATAGCAAATTTTTTTGTCGATCATAAATACAAGATACATTTTTAATATATTAAAAATTTATTATTTATGTACTGAATGTACATTATTTAATAGTATACAAAATAATGTACTTTCAGTACTTAAATAATTTACTTTAAATAAATATAATATATATTTTTAATAAACTAAAAGTACATTATTTGTGTATTGAATGTACATTATTTAATAGTATACAAAATAATGTACTTTTAATACTCAAATAATGTATACACTAACTAGTTATTGTAACCTCTCTCAGCAATGTAAATCATTCGTTCTCATTTACCTTACATGATATCTGAGCCTTAATCACTCTCATGAATTTTTTTCTCTCCCTGACTCTTTTACTGGTTATCAATATTGGACGTCGTTACAGAAAACAGCAACACTAAATTATGGTGCTAATTTAGTGTTAGCATCACAAAACCTGCAAAACCTAGTATTACGATTAGCATTAAAGCGTGCTAATCGTAATAATAGGTTTTGTGATGCTCTAGGCCATGATACCAAATTTTTTCATAAGCTATGCAATCATTTTTGGACTACTTGGGGCCTGATGAGATTGTGCTTGTCGATGCTAAGTCCTTACCCATCACTCATACAGGTTAAGTTTCATTACTCACCACTAAATGTTCCTTTCAGTAGGGGTATGTTGTGATTTGCCATAAGAAATACTTTGATAGTGCATTTCGTAAAGAGTTTTCAAATGCAATATCAATTATTCGCAAATGCATATTTTAAAATTTTTCAAATATACAGTTATAATTATACAAATGCCACTATATTTTTTTCTTTATTTTCTTTATTTTTCAATTGTTAGATTAACTAGATTGATTTCTAAGATTTCTGTTGTTTTACCACGGTTTTATTGTGGGTTTTTTTGTTGTTGCAATTTATCCTCCACGGATGAGTAAATGCATATGCAGTGAGGTCAAAATTGATTGTGGTTATATTATTCCTTTTGTTTTGTGCAATATGCCATAATCAACTGTGCCCTGTGCATACACAATTTTAGGAATTTTGTTATATTATTCCTTTTGTTTTGTGCAATATGCCATAATCAACTGTGCCCTGTGCATACACAATTTTAGGAATTTGGTTATATTATTCCTTTTGTTTTGTGCAATATGCCATAATCAACTGTGCCCTGTGCATACACAATTTTAGGAATTTAACTGGTGGGGTTAGAATGGTCCGACTCTATTGTGCAATGTAACCTTAAATACTGTGGGTATGCAATTATGCTGGGAAAAAATTGGAGGGTGTTATGGGGTTCCTTCTCTTTTGTGCAATTAAACCTTAACATCTGTGCAATTTTAATTTGGGGGTAATATTCGTAGGGAAATGATACATGTTTAATTATGTGCAATGCATTATAGTCATATGTGCAACTGTAAATAGGTCGATAAAATTTGGTGTGGCTTATATGAGATTGTGATCTCTGCATTGTACCCTTAGCAGCTGTACATATACAAATTGTGACCTTAATTTTGGTGTGAACTGTTGACTATTGTACTATGTAGTGCAATGAATTGTGCATATGCATAATTTCAAAATTTTGGTTTTGGTTAAAGAGGGTGTTAATGTACTGTGAACTGTTGACTACTGTGCTATGTAGTGTAATGAACTGTGTATATGCATGCATGATGCATGGTGTACATACCCACAGTATATGGTGCATAGCCTTCAAGATCAATAGATGCACAATATAATACAGCACACCATGGTGCATAGCATCCAAACTGGTTAACAGGAATGTATTTGCGAACTGGTTTGCCTAATGGTGCACAGAACAAAAACAAAAACCAAAATCCACAATACCGTCCAAAAAAAAAACAGCTGACTAAATCCCATCACAGCCCACCACCATGGAAATCAAATTAACACAAGCGATGCATAGTAGGAAAAATGTTGATAATGATTAAAACCATGAAATACATGCGGCCATCATTAGTACAATTAACCCTAGTCACTATGCACAACATCATTACGGTTATAATAAACAACCAGATCAGACCAAGCAAGGTCAATACATTGCGATTGCAAGAGTCTACAATAGTGCAAAACATCTCAGCCGAAATGAAAACTCACCGACAACCCGCGGAGACTCCACCACTTGGGCGAAGGTGAAGACGTCGGCCGGCTCTTCTGTGTAATGTTAAAGATTGGAGGCTAGAGAAATTTGACGGTGGAGTGATCAAATATCCCTACAAACATGCAAAAAATAATTAAATCTTATTTTACCAAATTTAGATGCACACAACAATTACCAAATAACTATGATTTTAACATTGAATACTAATGTGAGCATTTATTTTTGTGTATCGCATATATAAAAAGACTAGAGTATATATATATATATATATATATATATATATATATATCCCACATAAATAAGTGATTATTAATCTAATACATACATTGTAATGTTGTGAAATGAACTGTGATGTTATTGAGAGCAATGCAGCATATAAATAATGTACATGAGAGGAGAAGTATAGATAAGTTACAACCACTAGCTAGTCTACATGAGTACATTTATAACAACTAATTATCACAAACAATATTAGCCAGATATATGTTTACTACGCCCCCGCAAAATTGAAGATCCGTCGGAGACATCAATCTTGGACCGAAGCTGAAGAAATGGAGAACGGCTAAGCGGCTTGGTAAGAAGATCAGCACGCTGAGCAGAAAACAAAATGTGTTGTACTACTAGTATGCCACTGGAGACGAAGAAGTAGTCCAAGGCCAGATGTTTTATGCATGAGTGAAATACCGGATTTTTACACACATACGTGGCGTTGAGGTTGTCGCAGTACATGACCGGAGGCTTCACCATGGTTAATTTTAACTCCTGCAACAAATTCTTAATCTAGAGAACCTCTGCAGCTGCATTAGCCAAAGCCTGGTACTCAGCTTCTGTGGATGATCGAGAGATGGACTTCTGTCGCGAAGATTTCCACGAAATAAGATTAGCACCGAGGAACGCAAGGAACGCAATAGTGGAACGGCCAGCAGTGGCACTACCTCCCCAATCCGAATCAGTATACACACGCAACGAGAGCAGCTGACCTTCCCGAAGGAACAGACCATGGCAAACTATTCCCTTGAGATAACGCAACAGCCATTTAACAGCCTGCCAGTGTAGCTCCGAAGGCGCATGCATAAATTGTGAGAGCCGATTGACCATAAAATCTACGTCTGGTCATGTTAGCACCTAATACTGCATTAGTCCCAGTAGACGACGAAACTGAGTGACATCAATAGCGGTACTAGATAATGGCATTGGCACGAACTTATCTGAAACAGCTAGTGGTGTTGAAACATCCTTTGCACCATCCATCTTGAATTGCGTAAGTATATCAGTGATATACTGGCTCTGCGACAGAAAAACACCACCAACAGTGGGAATGACCTACACCTAGAAAATGATGCAAGGGGATGTGGTCTTTAAGAGCAAACAGCGCGGATAGAGTCCCCACAAACCGATCAAGTCAAACAGTGTCATTACCATGTAAAAAGGCATTATTAATATCCAACTGGCGCAGACCCCAGTGGTTACTCAACGCAATGGTTAACACTAGGCGAGTGGTGATAGGCTTCATGACCGGACTGTAGGTCTTAAAGTAGTCTCTGCCAGCAGTTTGCAAGAACCCCTTAGCAACTAGGTGGGCTTTGTACCGGTCAACCAAACCATTTGGCTTACGCTTGACGCAATAAACCTATTTACAACCAATCGGAACCCTTACTCCATGAGGAACGAGACGCCACGTTCTGTTGCGCTGCGAAGCATTGAACTCTTCATCCATGGCTTGCCTCCACCGAGCATCTTGTAGGGCCTGAGCAACGGTAGAAGGTTCTAAAGTGCGAGGCAACAGGTGGGCTGTGGTTAAATTGGTGACATAGTCGGAGTACCTTGGATTAGGACGACGGTGCCTAGTTGACCGGCGCAAACCATCTTGTGGTTGATAGCTTCCGGTGGAGGTTGCAGGTTGCGAAGATATAGAAAGAGGTTGGCTGGTCGGTGGGGCGTTTTCTGGAACAGTAGGTGATGAACAAGGCGAGAGAGACACTGAACTGGGAACCGGTGACGTCGTGCTACTGGAACCCACAGGATTGTTGTCACCCGTATGTGCAATCGATGCCGCAGTTGATAGGGACGACGTTCTGTTGGGTTCCGAGTCAACGGAAGCGATGGGGGTGTGTATGGATAAAGACGGCAGAGTGGGAGACATGGCACCTGTGGAGAAGTAGGAGTGGTTCCCGTACTAAGCTGTAGGTCTTTAGCAGGAAACACATCTGGTACGAAGCGCACATGCCTGGAAAGAAACAATCGATTTACAACATAATCTATACATTTTTAGGCAGTTTGCGTGTTAGAGTAGCCTAGAAAAATACACTAACGGGACTTTGGCTCCAATTTTTTAGTGTTATAAGGCCGAAGCCAAGGAAAGCACAGGCAGGCAAAAGGGTGTAACTTTGCATAATTAGGGAACTGTTTAAATAAAATCTGAAACGGAGACTGATTACCCAAGACCAGAGTCTGAAGCCGATTAATGAGGTAAACGGCTGTGAGAAAGGCATACGAGGTTGGTAGGGAGGCAGAGTGTAGAAGCGACATACCTGTTTCGACAATATGCGGATGTCGTCGTTCAACTATCCCATTATGTTCAGGTGTGTGAGGTGGAGTAGGGAAGTGAGATTTACCATGAGCATTAAATAAAGGTACTAATTTAATGAACTCACCCTTGTTATCCGAGTAAATAGAAACAATTGGAAGTCCAAAGAACTTCTCAACCAACCGTTTGTACTAAGAAAAATCTGAAAAGACATCGGACTTATATTTTAAAGGGTACAACCAAACATACTTTGAGAAGTGATCAATAAAAATAACATAGTAACGACAATCATCAACAGATTTATCAGAAGTCCCCTATACATTAGTGTAAATTAAGTGTAAAGGTTTAGTACTGACAAGAGTAATTTTTGAGAAAGGCAATTTATGACTTTTGTGTATCATGCAGGACGAACAGTAAAAATCACGTAAGGAGGAAGTAGTGACTGAATACTGCAGCGTTGCAACACAAGTTGTAACACCTTATTCGACAGATGACCAATCTGGTTGTGCCATTGAAACACCTGAGATTGATGCATGGTATTTATTGTAGGCTCATAAGACAAATGTCCAAAGTAGACACTGTTAATGTTTGTCCCCCGTAACAGTGTTATCCCCGTTTGAAGATCCTTCACAACGAAATAGGAATAAAAAAATTCAATAGACACTTTGTTAGTTTTGCAAAGTTGAGAGACGGATACTAAGTTATTTTGTAACTTTGGAACACACAGGACATTTTGTAGACTAAGAGCGGAAGCGGGAGTGGAAATGGTAGATTGACCAATATGGGAAATTTGTAGGGAATTACCGTTGCCCAAACGAATTTCATCTGGGCCAGTGTACTTAGAAAAGGCGTGTAGAGGTGTCACAGTTGAGGTGGCATGGTGTGACGCGCTGCTGTCAAATAGCCATGGTGAGGCCGAGCCCATGGTGGAATTGGCTGTAGGAGACTGCTAACACGAAGGTGCCTATACAGGAAACACGTTATGCTCTTTTAAAAATCGGGCTAGCTTTCGGCAAACCCGTTGATGGAATGTAATTTAGTGGGATGGAATGATGGAAAGTGTAAACGAGGATATGAAATCCCCGAGTGTCGAACTCAAGGATGGCAAGTCGGAATAAATAGAGTGCAAGAGAATCACGTGTCGCAGTGCATTACAAGAGAAAATTAGGTCCAAGGAGTGTAGGTGGTATGTGTAAGAGTGTACGGGGAAAGTAGGGAGCAAAGAGTGCAACAAAGGAAAACATGCAAAAGAAAACAAAAGAAACTAGAAAATAAAAAGAAGTGGAGTGGATTGGAATTCCTAGAATTGCAATGTATAGGCATTGGCGAGAACGGAGGCTAAACGAGAGTTTGATCATAGGGTCATGCTTTGCTAGTGCTAAGTCAATACGTGCTTAGTCTCTTAGAGCACACCTTAGTGTGACTAATGCATTTTATTAAACATCTTGCCTACATGTTTGCTTCCGGACTTGGCCCTCTCAGATCGCAAGGCGAGAATTGCAAGTGGAAAGGCTAGAGTGTACCACAATCTCTTGCCAATACACTCTTCCTAATTCTCATGTATGTGGTGCGCAAACTCAAACATAAGTCAAGACAATCACACTACCAATCAAGACTAGAGTGTATCACAATCTCTTGTCAATACACTCATACAAACAAGGCTAAGGTGTATCACAATCTCTTGCCAATACACCCATCCAAAACCTCACGCAAGAGTGCGCGCAACACGCACACACAAGAGAATACAAAATCCACTTCCAACAAGGATCAAATATATAGCCAAATCACATTAATCAATACATCAACAATCACAAAGAAATATTCAATCCACTCATAGAAATCTAGCTACTCATATTCATGCTCAATAATCTCAACATACACAAAGTAGGCATAATCATCAAATCAAGCAATATAAAGATAGATCTTAAGAGATTACCCACTTGTAATGTCAAAATTACAAAACAATCAAGTGAAGATGAAGATCCACCAAGATGAGCTTGAAGATCCCCTTCTTCTTCTTACAAAATGGAGAGCGTTTGAGAGCTAACTTCTAGAGAGAAGATAGAGAGAATTCCAACCTAATCTAACCTATAAACCTAGTGAGAGAAAGTTAAAAGGTGAATGAATTGGAGAATGCATCAAATCTGAATTTTTCTGCCTTAAAAACCCGCCACTAGCCTATTATTTCCCATTTACTACGGCGTTACTGCGTAACACCTCGCGTAAATGGTATAAGGTTGGAAGATGGATTGTGTGCTTTGATGATTACTTGCTAATTGATTGTCTTGGAGTCTCATTGTTGCCTCTATTGTTATTTATGAGCTTACTTGTCTATTATGCCTTGTCTTGTGTTCTTAGGATGCATGCTAGTCTTTATGATTGTTCTACGGTGTCAAGTATGTTGTTGTGTCTCGAGTCTTGATCTTGGTTTTAAAGCTAGCATTGCTTAGGATTATATATGTATTCCAGTTTCAAAATGATTTCCTATACTTATATTTATTGTACTCAACGCGTAGGAGTGGGTTACCAGCATTATTCGCTGACGGTTGTTACACCGCATGTTTTTCAGGTACTGACCAGTAGCTTCTGAGTGCGCTAGACGGACCCGCAGATTTATCATTAGTTAGTTCTAGTCATAGTTGTTATGGCCTATGTGCCTGGAATTGTATTTGAATATTAATTGTGGATTATGCTTAGATTAGTTAGTTGTAGCCTGTGCATCTAGTTTCTCAAACCTAGGTGTGGCATAGCACCCCGACTCTTATGATTAGTTTAATTTATGCTCTGTTTGGATGATTAATAATAGATTTACCTTGATTTCATAAGCTTTAACTTCTTCGCAAACAAACTCCCTTCGATCACTTGATAAGTGTCTCGTTTTCTGCTTTATCGGCTTTGTAGAAGGATCAACAGCCAGCCGGTGACAGATGACAGATCGGTCAATACCAGACATATCTTCTGGCTCCCATGCAAATATATCATCGAATTCTCTTAAGATCGCTATGATTTCAGCTCGCAAGGCAGGGGTTAAAGAACGCCCAATCTTGACTTTCCGATCAGGTTGATCTTCTAAAAGAGGAACCTCCTCAACTTCTTCTGAGGGCTCAGGTTGTTCTTTACGATCACTCTCCACCTCCTTTGCGATAGTGCTAACCCTCGAACTTCCCGCATCACTCCCAGTTCACAGCCTGCGAATAACATTTCCTTTCTGAGTGAACATCGCCTCGGAGCACTCCCCCCCCCCTCTCGCGGGGTGGGGAGTTTCATGCATAAATGCGGTATTGAATGGGATGATCCCTCCGATCTTCATAATCGCGGGCCGACCCAAAATCACGTTATGAACACAACGCAGATCGACCACCACAAATTCCATTTGAGTTTTGACTGACTTAGGAGGTGTTCCTATCTCGACCGGCAAGTTGATCTTCCCCTCCGGGTGGATAGTGTCTCCAGTGAAACCCGACAATGGAGTTGCGATCGAGGTCAATTCAATGGGATCAAGCTTCAGCTTCTGAAAGACATCAAGGTAAAGAACGTTCACGTTGCTACCCGTGTCGACCATAACTCTCTG